GAAAAAAAGAAATGTCAAGGTTTTAGAAATTATTTTACAGCAGGAATTTACATATAAATACAATCTGTACAATGTATTAACTGAACAATCCGCAATGAGCTTCCATCATGGAGGAGATCTGATACTAGGACAGGCCAGGGCAGAATTCAATTACTGTCTCCTTAGAGGAAGACATTTCAGCCTGGAAAAGAAAACAGAAAAGAGAGAGAAGAATTAGATATAAACTGAAAAACCAAACAGATCCTTAAGTGGTGAGAATGCCAGACCTCTTCCCTCAGTGACAGCGGAATGTCTGCACCTATAAAATACAGGTAATGACCACCCATGATGAAGCATTGTTTAATATGTGTTCTTAAAATGCTTCTTCTGTTACCCCCACAGAGGCTCACTTACTCACATCTCATATTAGGACCCATTCACAAAAGCAACTTCTAATCCCAGTTTCACTCACCTGCCTCACCTATTGTAAGACCTTTGGGAAGGAACTAAAACATGTTTGCTCCAGGGCCAAAATCTCCCTAAGTTGTCAGTCTTAAATCTCAATTCCATACATACAAGAATGTTTTTGGCAGCTGTACTTAGAGCACAGGTGGGTCACATTGGTCCTAGGTCCTTGGTCTCTAGGCCCAAAGTAGAAAACTAAATGTCTGCAACAATAGAATAGACAAATACACTGTGGTGTATTTGCATAAAGGAATACTGCACAGCAATAAGACAAGCCAGCTACTGCTGCCTACAAAACAGAGGAATCTCGTGAGCTAGACGCTGAAGAGTTCATACTACATGATTTCTTTAAATAAAGTTAAAACTTGCCAAAAGCAATCAATGGTGATAGAAGCCAGAAGAGTGTTTACCTTTGGGGAGGAGAGTGGGAATGGTACATGGGAGGAGACAGGAGAGGCCTCTGGGGTGCTGGTTTATTCCTTGATCTGGGTGCTTTCTCCATGGGTGTATTCAGGGAGTGAAAATGCATGGAGCCGTGAACTTAGGATCTCTGCACATTCACGTACACATGTGCAATAAAAAGCTTACCTAACTGTATGATTTCATTTCTGTGGCATTCCAGGATAGGCAAAACTCACTTACAGCAAGTGACAGGAAGCAGATCAGTGTCTCCCAGGGAGGGGCTGGAGGGGGCAGATGCAACTCCAACCACAACTAGGCTATACTGCCACTGAAGAAAAGTAGCAGGGGACCTGTGGCTGGTGAGACCCTGTGGCCAGTGTCGGGGATGCAGATAAGACCCACATGGCTGTGACCTTCAAATGCCCCTTCCAGAAGACACATGCAGACAAGACAGGCAATGCACCCAGAGTGAACCAAGGCACCTTTTGATGATGTGGCCCCCTCCAGGTTCTTTAGGGAAAGCTTAGGAGGCTTGGGGGTGAGGGGATGTGGGAACTACCTTTAGCAACCACAGGAGTCATATGTAAATACTCTTCACACCTCTGATCCTCCTTCTATCCTTCCCAGGCCCTTCCTCAGAGATAAGTGCTCTCATGTGTGGTAAGAATCCCTCCAGACTTTTTCCTATGCAAGAATGTATATGTGCATGTAGGGAAATCCAAAGGCCTGAGGATGGCTTTCTAGCATCAACAGTACTGAATGTATACACTGTTTTGCAGTTTTTGGTCTCTTAATAGTGAGTTTTAGATGCCAACCAGCACACAGCTATCTGCCCATGTTTTCTGACCACTGCATAGTGCTCCAAAGAACATCCGTGCTCCAGCCCATCCCACCACACCCTCCTGATGGGCACTGAGGGGCTTCCATGTATTTCCCATATGGGCAGGTGCAAGTTCTTCCCACAGCAATGACTCATCAAATGGCCAAAACTGGTTAAGAGTGATCATATCAATTATTAGAGAAATGTGTGTGTGCACATGTGAGGGGTGCGTGCATGTGTGTGTGTGTATGTGTATAACCTTGGGTTAAGAAAGGCCTTTTAAAGATAAAATTGTAAAATGTACCAACAAAAAAAAAATTGGTAAAATTGAGTACACCAAAAATTAAAACTTCTGTACAACAAAGACAGTTAAAAGCCATCTCATAGATAACACACTAAAACACAAAGAATTAATATCCAGAATTATTTTTTAATTCCTAAAAATCTATAAAACAATACATAAATATATCAGTAAAACAAACAACCCAACAGAAAACAGGATGACAAAGAACATAAGAACAAAAGAGCATATAGCAAAGGCTGAGAAATATGAAAAGATGCTCAACCTCATTAATAATCAAGGAAATGCAAATTAAATGATACCACTTTTTACCATTATACTAGCAAACATTTTATAATGTATGTAATTTTTGTAATTGATATAATAACCAGGTGCTTTTGTAATCTAAATAGATATAGCCTCTTTGGAAAGCTATTTGGTAGTATTTAGTTACTATAAATGTTCATACTGTATGTAAATTTTTCCTACATAAAAGTATTTTATATTAAAAATGTGCACAAAAATGTGGGATTATGTGTGTATGGTTGCACAAAAGAAAAAAGTCTTGCAGGTTACTTATGAATCTGATGGCAGAGGTTACTGTGAGGGAACGAGAGGTTTGGTGAATTGGTCAAGGGCCACTTTAACTTTATCTGTAAGGTCTGAATTTTCATAATGAAAATATGTTAATATTTTAATATGTTAATATGTTAATATTAAAATATGTTAATATTAGTTATGTAATTAAATATTAAAAGTTTTTTAAAAGCCTGGTTAATATACAAATTTCCCATTTCTGACATTTGCCTCTAAGTAAGTACATCAAATATTCAGTAAGCCTTTGAAAGTTTTCTGAAAAACCCACTGTACCCCATTGCCTACCGCCTCAGTAGCTCCTGGGGTGACATGTCTGCGGTTCCTTCTTTGTCACTCTGGCTGTCACTGCTGTCGGTACTCTCAGAACTACTCCTTTTCTCTGATTTTTTATTCTTTTGCTTCCCTTTGTGTTTATGCTTCCTGTGTTTCTTTTTCTGTAAAAAAAAAAAGGGAGGGGGGACCAAATGGGTGTTTCCCTCCCTAATTCACTACAATGAAAGGCATTTGGAGAGGGGGATAGGGAGAGATTGGACAAGGGGCATAAAGAATAAGTACAATTTGTAACAATATACATACTAGTAATATTGATTT